CGAACATTCCTTATCTAAAACTTTCAGCCTTTTTACTCTTTCTTGACGATTTCAATAATCTCTCTTTATCAACCAATGTTTCCAGTTTCTTTGTTCCGATTTTGTTTACATGCGTTAAGAAAGGAAGGTCATTATCATTTCAATAATTTCGTCCAGTGTAAATAAATAAACATTTATCATTTTTATTATTGCATTAAATAATTTTATATGTGTACAGTAATTCATATATACCTGTGCAGATCTTTTATTTATACACTTCTTTTTGCATATTATTCACATATTTATGCTATTTTTAAACAAATATTCCATTTTAATAAATTCCATTTTAAATTTAATGAGAAGAGAAAAAAAAGCTTTGAATGAAAATTCATTCCTGTATTAATTAAATTTCAAAATTTGTATAAATATAATTACTTTGCAGCTGCGTTAACAATAACACGATATAGTAATGGAACAGCTTTAACAGAGAGTGATGTATCACCATTGATATTATCAACATTAATTACAGCAATCGCTCGTTGCTGAAGTGGTTTCATAAATTCTTCCACCCATTCTGTACTTCCTGTAAATTTAAAATACGAAATTTCTATTATTATAACAACGATGAATTTACAAGTGAATATATAATTTCATTTCCTGATGAAAAAAATTTTATCAAATTATCAAAAGAGATGATTTCATCGAAATGATTTTAACATATTTCAGTTTTTTTCTTATCAAAAAGATTCTGTCAAAAAATTTGAATATATTTTATCAAAAGAGAAAAAAAGAAACTTTCTCACCGATAAGTCCAAATTCTTCAGCATCCCATAAGCAAAACATTATAGTACGTCGTGGACGCCATTTTGTTGATTTTTTAATTTTCGATAATACCCGCGCCATTTCAAGCATAGTACCCGTAGCGGAAATTGGATCGATTGTACCCTATACAAAAGAAAGAAACAAAGATTTTTTTTCCATTTTTAATTATTTAATTAAATACTTAGTATATTATTCTATTAATTAGTTAAGTGAAATGTTACCATTAATTTCCATCCTCTTTTTAGTTTCTTCAACTTCTTTTTATAAAAAAAAGTATCAAGTTTCTTTAGCTTCTTTTTTTTCATTTTATCAGTTTGAAATTTTATATTTCTTCTGCAATATCAACAATGATATATGTATTTGCTAATTTTTACTTACTATCAAACATAATTTTCTAACTTCCAATTACGTATTTCCAACGTTACTGTAGGAGGAAGATATTTTCTTACTTCTACAATATCAGCAATGATATATGTATTTGCTAATTTTTACTTACTATCAAACATAATTTTCTTACTTTCAATTACGTAATTTTCACGTTGTTGTAGAAGGAAGGATATTTCAACATTTTTCAACATTTTAATAATTTCATCAATTTCATATCGCCTTTTTTTAAAATAATAAATAATCAAATGCTTATAAAAGGAAAATATTTATAAAAACAAATTTAGCATCTGTTTAGTTTAATAATAATCGATAACAAATATGTGAAATATATTCGTCAATTTTTGATTTTCTCCTTCCATCTATCTTTTTTTCATCCCTGGGAAAAAATACATTTTTATTGGTGATGATGAAATTTTTCACCCGAAAAAAAGTGCTTTTAATTTATACACCTGTCAATAGATATAGGATAGGAAGTAAAATTACATATAATTAAATACACATATACATATATAATTAAATGTGAATACGAATAATGAACAGTTGAAATAAATTTAGGATGATGAAAATTATTGTTATATCTTTTTTCCTTCTTTTCTTGAAGGTAAGTTATTCATTTATGATATTATAAAATATTCCAACTACTTGAATAATTAATTACCAGTTGTTTTTGTTATTTTAAATAAAATAACAATACCTTAACCCAGGAATCGTAATGATTACTGAATAATACATAACGATCCGGTTCTTCACGTCCAAACATTGTTGCTACAATATTTGTAATGATACGATGTGTACAGGTAGAATGTACGATAACTCGGAATATTGCTGTTCCCGTGATACGATATGTTACATTCATAGATCCAATCCAGTCACGTAACTAAAATTTAATTCAAATATGGACGTAATCATTCATTCATTGATCGTTTATCAAGTAATAGGTTTCTGATAGAGTTTCAAATTTCTAATCATTGATAATGATAATATTAGTGGAGAAAATTGCTTATCAGTAAAAACCTGCATATCAATAATTTACTGACAAAAAAACAAACAAGAAAGAAGTAAGTGTTAGCATAAGTAATCAAGCAAATAAATAAATAACATATGTGATTAAGTTGGAAAGTAAAAGCCAAGGCATATTCTAACAATATAGTTAATTAATAAAAAATAATTAAGGAAAAAATTCATATTAAGAATTTAACCTTAATTTGTGGTCCATTAAAATTTTTCATTATTTTCCGAGCATCTCTGTAACCAATGGGCATTACCGGAATTGATGGCATTATTTGTCGATCGCGTAAATTTTTTTCCGTTTCCGTACGATAAACATAGTATTTTGATGGTAATAATGGTGTTTCCGGATCACCATCCGTTTTAAGTAATGTACCACGTTGTGCACCTGATTCTGGTAACCAAATTGCATCTGGAAATACCTGTAATTTCATTTGATAAGATTAACTTTTCATTGCTGATAAATATTTGGAAAATAAATACAATTGAAATTCAGCCATTAAAATTTATTTTTAATAATTAGTAAAATAAAGAAGATATTTCACAATTGATTAAATTTAAAATTGTAGAAGTTAGGTATCAGTTGATAAGTTGAAAAGTTTAAAATTTATATTAAACGAATAATAGAATTTGTAGGCAGCGGTGTGATTCAATTTAAATTTTTGCTTTTTAATTCTCTTTAAAATAACCTTCGCATCATTTCGTCCATTTGTATAATCAAATGGATCACTATATAATATCATTCCAATAGCGCCATGTTTAACTGCAAGCTGCACCTTATCACCACGAAATACCGCACCATAACGGCACAATGCAATTTTTCCCTTCAACGAAATCCCAAACTGAAATGAAAATAATTTTGAATAAGTTTTAAATCATTCCTTTAATTATATATGCAAATATTTCGATATCTTCAGTGAATATATATTTGTTTTTTAAGATCATTTTATTAACTCATGCTAAATTATTTTACAGGCGCAAATGTCGTTCCGCCTGTAATCATCATAACATTTTTCAGTCGTTTTTTCGACGAAACAGAAAGTTCTACATTTTTGATAGTTTTAGTGTAATTAAAATATCAATGAAAATAAATTGAGTTTTAGTATAATTAAAATATCAATGAAAATAAATTTTACAAAACTTTTGCAAATAAATTTTTGATAAAATACTTGAAAATTCAATTATAAATATATTTAATATCTAATTAAAAATAATTTTACAAAAGTACTTATTAAATTAAGTAGAGAGTTAATATTTTATAATTCAAAAGACTAATAATCAATTTATCAGGCAAGAACATTTCTCCTTCATTTTATATCAATTCTTTTAACTAAGCTGTCCTTAATTAATGAATCAAAAAATTTTAAAACCCAATCTATCATTTGCAATTGATTTAACTATTAGATAAAAATTAATTTAGAATTATTCTGAATTTTAGTTTGGCAATATCAAAAATCTTTTTTGTCTTACATCAAATAATTAATTAATAAAACAAAAATATTTTTTAAACAATTAAAATATTTCATTTTTCAATAATAATAATAATAATAATTCCAAGAAAAAATGTATTATATATAATAAAATATAAAAATATGTTAGACAAAACTAATAATAATTATTAACTGGGAAATAATGAATTGAAAAAGTAGAATCATTGATAAAAACTGATAAACCTTATCTAATCTTTTGTAATCATCAATTGTTCCATAATTAACATAAACTATTGGTCCAATAACTGTACCATTCTTTGAATAAGCTGTCCAATAAATTAATCCTCGTGGATCTGTTTGCTAAATTAATCATTTAAAATAAATTTCATCAATACATTAAAACATTTTAAATTATTATCAAAAAGAATACTAGTAATATTATAAATTTCAAACGAATTAACTTACTTGTTCTTGTGCTTCTTTTGGGCCAAGTTTTTCAGCTAGGCCATTACTAATCTCTTCCCATTTCTTATCATCAATTTGTAATTCAATTCGATTTGGTTTCTCATAATTTGGATAATTCAATAAAACATTATAACTATACGTTTTTACATCATAGCCATATCGATGATACTGAAAATATTAAAAACTTAGAACAGTCAACAAATTTTTAAATTGCAAATCTTAAAATTTAATTAAGCTTTAATATTCAGCAAATCTTAAAACTTAATTTAGTTATAAACAAATTTTTGTGATTATTTAATTCCAAAATTCTTTTGTAAGCCAAATTTTTATGAAACAAAGTTTTTGATTAAACTTATTCTCATATAATATTAGGCTTATTATAAGTTAAAAGAAATTTATATTAAATTAAGTAATGAATTAGCAACAATTTTTTAGCATTACAAAAATTACAATAATTATTAAAATAATAATTAGCAAACTTTATAAGCAATTTTTTTCATAAGTTCGACATTTTCTTTGGTACCAGCTACGTGTATTTTTTCGGATAGCCATTTAATATTCTTTTTAATATTTTCAGCATTAAATGCATCCATTAATTGTTGACTAATTAGTGCTTGCTGTAATATTTCATTTCGAATAAAATTTAATTCATTCGAAATTAATTGAAATTGAAAATAAAGAAAACAACGAATAAATTAATTTCAATTGAAGAGTAAAACAAAAGTAAATGTATGTATGTGTTAGATTGAAATAATAATAAATTAAATAATAATTTTGATGATTTGAAAAAATAAGTGATTAAAGGATGGTAATGATTAATTATAATAGCTAACAGAAATGATTAATTAATTATAATAAATAGAAACGATTAATTATAATAAAAATAAATAAAATAAAATTTTAGCCATAAACAATAAATAATTTTATGATTTATTTTCATTCTATTATAATTTCTTTATTAAAAATTTTTTCGCTTGATAAATTATTTATAAATCAATTTTTGTTAGCAATACTTATTTATATTTTAATATTATTGCTTATTACATAATTAATTATAAGGAACAGATACCTATCACAACAGCTATATACAGCATGAACAATATTCACAATAATTATTTAGCAATTTATGTTGCAAATCTTTTTCAGAACTTTATATCTGCTACTTTAGGTATCTGCTACATTAATAATTGATTATGTAATAAGTAATTAATATAAAAATTAAAGGATAAAAAATTAAAGAAAACGAGAAAGGATAAGAAATGATTAATTAACCTGATCTAAATTTTGACGTATTCGTTTTGTAAAGGTAATATCAAATGATGAATTCCATCTACCTGTAGTAGTTGTGATAGTACGTCGCGTACTCAAAAATATCACCATTATCAGTAATACTGTTATTATCATAAAAAATACCAACAAAATGCATAGTAGCAATGGTATTAATGTAGTATTTTGTATCAACGAAATTTTCATTTTTGATTTCATTCCCATAATTGATTTCTGATTAATTATTTGATATAATTCATTAGTACTATATTGTAATTGATATTGTTTAATGTTTTCACTCTTTCTTCTCGTATTTTTCCAATCATAATTACATTCCATTGCTATGCAACTACCACTAAGCTGTTCCTTTCCATTTAATAGTAACCAATAAAGTTCATCTGAAATTTAAATCATAAATTTTCATTTGCTACCAAATAAAATTTTAAAATTTAAATTAAAAATTAATAATTTTGGACAAAAAATATTTTTAGATAAAAGCTATAATATCATATTTTCAGCAAAAGCTGCATTATTTTTGTTTTTTGTCTTTGTTTTTCTTAATAAATTTAAAGTTTTAATTAGCAAAAAGTTTTCGCATTTTTTTGAATATTTTATAATTTTGTATTTTTTTTTGAACATTTTATAATTTCTATTAATGAATTTTAGTACTTATTACTTTTAAAAGCTTACATATATTATTTTATAGTTTAAAATAAATTTGCTTTTTTGACAAATCGAATAGGAAATTTTTAAAGAAAATGAAAGATAAATCGATAAATTATTGATTGATAGTATGTGTATCTTAAAAACTTATAAATTTTTTATCAGAAAAGAAAAATTTTTTATCCATTCCTACCATTTTGTGGATGGCATGGCAGTGATTCCGTAGTGGAACCACGGATTAGTGATGTAGATTGTAGCGAATTTTGTGGAATAGATGCAGTGGTACTAAGAGATGTTGAAGTGGTAGCAATATGATTATCACAATATCTTATTCGTGTTAAATCTTCATCATTCAACGATAATGATCGTTGTAATGAATTTCTTGACAATTTATAATTGATCAAATCAAATTTCTCATTTTCTTCTTTCATTAAATATTTTGTTAAATTGCAAAATATATAAAAATCACTTTGTAATCTGAAATTCAACGATGAATTTTTAAGTACAAATGAGTACATTTCAGTCATTTAGTTCCTTTTGCCATCAATTTAAAAAGTTAATTCATTAATTTAAAAAAAAGCTAAAAATCAAAATTTTTCTTCAAACTTAAAAATATGCAAAATTTATTATAAAATAAAAATTTTAATAGTTTGAAAGAAAAAAAACGGAGAAGCCAAAAACTATAAATATAATTTGTTAACTATAAAGATAATTTATATATTATATATTTAAAGATTTTAAAGAAAAATCTCAAAAATTTTATTTTTTACTTCAATTCAAAATAAAGGTATTTAACTTCAAAAAGTCATTAAAATCATTTAATTTCAATTTTATTTTGAAAATTGCTATGTTAATAATAAAATAATATTAATAATATTATATAATATAAAATAATATTTTTAATAACATATAATATTATATATTAACTTATACTGACAAATTTATAAATTAACAATGTAATTTTAAATTGCAAAATATGAGATAATAATAATAAGCATTTCAAAAAGAAAAACAAATTTCAACAAAACCTAAAATTAAACAATTAACAAATTATTCCTAAAAAAGGACTGAAATAATTTCATAGTAATAAATGGAAAAAAATTTCGATGCGTAAAATTCATTTTAATGTTTATCTTTTGTTTAAATAAAATATCCAAAAAGAAAACGAAATTTGAAATGAACTGAAATTAAAAAAAAATAATCCTAAAATTAGTTTATTTATTTATTTATTTATTTATTTATTGCCATTTTACAATAACACATTAACGATAAAAATAAGCATTTTCAAAAGGGAAAAAGAATTTCAATAAGAAAGTCTAAAATTAACAAAAATCTAAAATTAATCTAATAAGAATAAGCATTTACATAAGAAAGACAATTTCAACAATAACGTCTAAAACAAAAACCTAAAATTAATCGAATAATAAACTAAAATTAAGAAAACCTAAATTTAATCTAACAGTAAGCGTTTTCAAAAAGAAAAAAAGAATTTCAACAACAAAGCCTAAAATTAACAAAAACCTAAAATTAATCGATTGATATAATTTAAAATTGTAATGAAATGATTTTAGGAATATCTTTGATTCATTTTGAGCTTTGAAAAGTAAAAAATGAAAACGAAAGAAAGAAAGCGTAAAGTTTGCTTTTTCCATTTTACACATTCAAATAATACAATATATCTCTGATTGTCTGCTTGCTGTTCAATTCTCCTTTTTTTTTTAAAAAATTTATCGCTACTTCAGAAGGATTTATTTTTCTTTCATTTTCTATTCTTTTACAATATTCTCTCAAATTGATTGATCAGCTTTTTTTCTCTCATTTACAGTATTTCGTTATTGATAAGAGTAAGAGAGTATTTTTTAATAAATTAAAATGAGTGAATAAAACAATTTAAAATTATTTAAATAAGAATTTTAATTTTTAATTAATTAATTAAAATGGAATAATTATTCAATAATAACTAAATCTTTTTTTCATTCCGAATTTTCACTTTTTCCTTTTTTCGTTTCTTTTTTTGTGAAATTTAAAACAATACGTCTAAATAGTTAAATTGTTATAATAATTTATAATAGTAATTTAAAGAGTAATTTATAGAAAAACTAAATTTTAATAGTAATTTGTAATAGTAAATATTAATAAAGCAATTTAGTAATGATAATAAATTAACAAGGTAATCATTTTAATAATACAGTAATTTAATAATTTGCAATAAAATTAATTTTTAATAGTAATTTGCAATCGTAATTTCTTAATGAAGTAAATTTGCAATAAAATTAAACGCATGCAATTTAATTGGTATAGATTGCAATTATTAGTTAAATCTTTAGAATAATTTATAATAATAATTTATAATTGTAATTTGTAATAGTAAATTTTAATAAAATAATTTGCAATAAAGTTAGACATATGCGATTAATTCGTATTGATTACAAGTAATAGTTAATTTATAATAAAATTAATTCTTTAATAGTAATTTGTAATAGTAAATTATAATAAAATAATTTTGCAATAAAATTCAACATATGCGATTTTAATTCGTATAAATTGCAAATTTTAAAGAATGATGAAAAAACTTTTTTAATAATAAATTAACCTTCCAAAATAATATTTTGATATACACCTGTTTAAATTTTCTCTATAATAAAATATTCAATTAATTCATTGTTTATATCACTAAAATTAAACCTTTTTTTTTAAAGAGGAAAGAAAGAAAGAGAAAAAAAATGAGAGGGAGAAAGAGAGAGAGAGAGAGAAAGGTTATTAATATTAATTTTCAAAAAGAGTAATTATATTGAATCGTATTTTTAACAATATCGTTTTATTTATCATCCTTACATTTAGATCAAATTACAATAATATTTAACTTCACATTCAAGATAGTATATTGATTCCTGCAATTGAATGAATTTTGGATATTTAGCAAATTTAGTACTCCTGAAATATGATATGTATATAATACAGGTATCGATAATGATTCTAGAATTTAGGAATTTAATTTCACCTTTTATTCCTACAATGTTGAATATTTGGTAGTTTTGAAATATGATATATACATATCTAAATTGAAATAACTATTATAGGTATATGGTATAGTATAAAATGAATGAAATAAAGGACAGGTAGAAAAATGTTGGATGGATAGATTTTTGGATCGAATAGTTTAATAATGGGAAATATGAAAGTGAAAAAGAGTAAAGACGAAGATCGAAGCAATATTATTTGCTCTATTGTGTTATTTTGTTGCCACTTTTAACTAAGCAATCTTACCCTTTCTCATCTTTTTCCATCCTTTTTTGAGAGAGAGAGAGAGAGAGAGAGAAAGAGAGAAAGAGAGAGAGAGAAAAAAAATTCAAAATATTTATTTAATTTTCTTATTGCCAACCTGAAATAATAATCTTCCCCCCCTTTTATTTACCCTTACATTTTTTGTTGAAATTTAAATTTAAAAGAAGTGAAATAATATAATTGAAAAGTTTCAAAGAATTATTTTAAATTTAAAATTCATTTTAAATTTTTGTAAGAAATTGTATGAATGCATTTTTCCCTGAGATTTAGGAAAACAAAGTTTCTTTTATCAAAAATTTTTAAGTACCAGTATGCGTCTTGTTCTGAGTACTCAAATGCGATGATTGAGAGAAACTTTCCGCCTGTCCTTTATTCGTATTATTAATTGATAAATCCTGTATTTGTAATCCTTCCTCACTCACTTTCCGCAC